AATCATAAGATTATTTTAAAAATAAATTAGAAATTTAGGATTTTAATAATAAAGGCGTAAACCAATCTGAAGGGATAGAGTTGTAAGTGAGTTAGAAATTTAGAATTAGGGTTAAAGTGTATGATTAAAATGGAAAAATAACTTAGGGAATATGGAGATGTTTTATTTTTATTTTTTAATTAAGTTAATGGAGTTATTATTTTGTAAAAAAAGAAAAAGAAATTTTAAAATACTACAAAAAATATACTATATTATTTAATTAAGTTATCTTGTAATCGATTTTATTTTGTAATCAGGCAGTTCGGGCAGTTTGAAGGTAAAATCACAAACCAAACCAATTATCTTGGTTTTAAAATTTTATGATTCAAACCAACTCAATTTTATATCGGTTTGGATCAGGTTTTGATTGGATTGGATCAATTTAGGTTGGATCAATCGGATTAGATCAGTTTAGGTCGGATCAATCGGATTGGATCGGATATGAACACCTCTAAGCAAGACTAAGAAACACCATCAACCAATGACAGAGCATATAAGTATGTATTAATTTCTATCATTTATACTGCATGTAAAGTGAGTAGCAGCAATAAATGAATTGCAAAATTTTCCTTAATGCTGATTGGGCTGGAGACTTTAATGATCATAAATCCACCACTAGATATAGTCTTTTTCTTGGTGATTCCTTAATCTCTTGGTGTAGCAAGAAGCAGACAGTTCCATCACGTTCTAGCACAGAGGCTAAATATCGAGCACTTGGAGACACCACATCAGAGTTACTTAATTTATGTTGGCTACTAGAAGATATGAGTGTTTCTCAACCGCCTACTACTAATCTTTATTGTGACAATCAGAATGCCATGCAAATTGCTCATAATGATGTCTTCCATGAACGCACTAAACACATTGAGGTTGACTGTCACTTTGTTCACCATCATGTTGCACAAGAAACTGTTCATTTGGTTTTTATTGGCTTCACTGATCAACCAGCAGACCTTTTCACTAAGGCTCATTTTCCTAGACGCTTTCATACTCTTCTTTCCAAACTCAAGTTGGTTTCATCACAACCACCTTAAGTTTGAGGTAGGATGTTAAGATGTGAACACAATAATTTAGATTATATTCACATTTATTGTAAATATTTTATACTTTAAAATATTCTCTTTATATACTTTATACCTCAGAATATTCTTTTTGTAAACCACTATATAAAGTCATTGTACATACAGTATCATTTAAGAAAGTAATAAACTTTTCTTCAAATATTTCTCCTTCTTTTTTAATTTCTATCCACGAAGAAAATAAAGGATTGATATAATATTCCTAATTCCATTTTTGGAATCATTCATAGAACGAGCTCTCAGCTTCCTTGAAGGAGAAACTTGAAGAATTCAAGCATAGCTTCCCTTTTTCTTCACATGCACATGTTTATGATGGTTATTTTCATTTTGGTTTTGATTTAAGAGTGCAATGTCCTTTGGCATAACTTGGGACACTGTTGTTCCTTCCTTTCTCTTTACAATATTTTCGTTTTCAACTTTTTTCAACTTTTCCATGGTTTGGCTTTATTAATTAATTGAGAAAAGTAGAGATGCTATCATTATTCGCTACTCTTTCATGCTATAAAACCAGGAATCATGAACACCAAATGAAAGCTGCTAAAGAAAAACTATTTACCAAATCAGAAGAGTGAAAAGGGAAAGCTGAGTAGAGGAAAGGACATGGGCGAGAGACACGGGATCGGAGAATGCCTTGGAGCGGAGGGTATGCCAGAAACCGAGGACAGGAACGCTCACAGCGACAGGATGAATCAAAGATCCAAGGAAGGGGGTTCAGGCAAAGTTTTGGAGGATATGATTGGAAGACAGACAACCAATTGATTGCCCTTTTCTTCCAGAACTTTCCAGATCAATGGGGATATGAGGATTTATGGAGATTGTTCAGCAGGTAAGGGAGGGTGTATCCGTTGTACTGCCCAGACAGGAAAAGCAAGAGTGTTTACAGGTTTGGTCTTGTTCGCTTTTTGGATGTGAAAAATGTGAAGGAGTTGGAGCATCGATTAGACCACATCTGGATAGGAAACAGAAAGCTGAGGGTAAACCTTTCGAGATACAGTGAAAGTGATAGGAAAACCTGGCAGGGGAAAAAAGAGAAGATGATACGAGGTACGGTCAAGCTGGTGCAGTTCGAGAGGGGTTGGCCCCCAGAGGTGTAACAGTGGAAAAAGGTAGGAGCTATGCGGATGTGGTACGAGGTCTCAACGACAAGGTTGAAAGTAATGGCAGTAAGAGATAGATTAAAGGAGAAAGAAAGCACCTAAAAGGATCTGGTCACCAAAAGAAAGTAATGGCATTAAAGCTAGACTAAGGAAGAACGAGATTGTGAATATTAAAGTAGATGGTAAACAGCTAGAGGGTGTGGAAAGCATAAAACAGGGGGTGGCTTCCTACTTTGAAAACCTGCTTAAGGAAGAGGACTGGACAAGACTTAGACTGGATGGGATCCATTTTAATCAGATCTCAGAGTCAGAAAATATTTTATTGACTGCACCATTCAGCGAAGAAGAAGTAAGGAAAGAAATATGGGGTTCTGATGGCTCTAAAGCACCTGGACCTGATGGTTGTAATCTTGGTTTTTTCAGAAACATGTGGGAGGTGATCAAGCCTGTTGTCTTAGCATTTGTCAATGAGTTTCATAGTAAAGGTTGACTGGTGAAAGAGATAAATTCCTCTTTTGTGGTGCTTATTTCCAAAACAATGAATCCACAATAGATTGAAGAGTATAGACCCATATTGTTGATCAGCTCATCGTCTAAAATAATTGCCAAATTGACTCTGCTTAGTGTTGGATAGGGTCATTGGTGGAGAGCAAACAACTTTTGTTAAGGGAAGAAACCTTACTGATGGAGTAGTGGTGGCTAATGAAGTTATTGAGGAGGCCAATAGAAGAAAGACTAGCAGTTTTATTTTGAAAAGTAGATTTCAAGAAGGCGTTTGATAGGGTGAATTGAAATTTCCTGGACTAGATGCACGAAAGATTGGGTTTCTGCTCTAAATGGAGGGGTTGGAATAAGGAATGTATCCAGACGATCAGGATTTCAGTCCTGGTCAACAAAAGTGCCACTGAAGAATTCCCAGTTAGCTGAGGACTCAGGGGGATCCTTTGTCTCCCTTTTCGTTTCTAATTGTTGGAGAAGGTTTTAATGGCATAGTTAAAGCAACTAAGTCAATGAACTTGTATGAAGGAATAAAGGGGGGCATATCAGTGTCACATCTCCAGTTTGCGGATGATATAATTTTTTTTGGGAAGGCTACAGAAGATAATGATTGCATGGTGAAAGGCATACTGCGAACTTTTGAAATGGCTTTTGGTTAAAAAATAAACCACAGCAAGAGCCAGATTATGGGCATCCATACAGAGGAAGAGTAGCTATTGCAAATGGCATGGGTTTTTAATTGCAGGAGGGAAACGTTGCCATTTAAGTATCTCGGGATGCTGGTGGGTGACAAACTGTGGTCTCTGGCAACATGGAGACCTTTGATCAATAAAATTAAACAGAAACTCTAGTCATGGAAGTGTAGGTTCCTGTCTTTGGGGCGATGCATCACTCTTCTCAACTCTGTCCTGACCTCAATGCCTGGTTCCTCATGTCCATGTTCTTGATTATTTAATCTTGCTTTATTGGGAAAATGGTGAGGGAGATTGGCGGCAGGGGGAGGGAGGTCTTTGGAGGAAGTTTCTGGAGGAGAAATATAGTGGGAGGGGTGGAAATTGGCTATATTGGTTAAGAAAGGGTAAAGGAGTAAGGTCAAGATGATAGAGAGACATTTGTAGTTTAAATATGTTAGAAGCAGGTAGAAGTGGATGGCTAATAAAGAATTTTAGATGTAGCCTAGGTGAGGGAGATAAATTTAGTTTTTGGCATGACAATGGGATGGATTCAGGGGCTTTAGCTAACATGTATCTGAGATTGTATTTACTGTCAGCAGGTAAGGACAGTAAAGTAAATCCAATGGGGACCTAGAATGATGGCATTTGGAGTTGGAATCTACAATGGAGAAGAAAGCTGTTTGATTGGGAAGAGAAGCAAGGAACGGAGCTGCAGGAGAAATTAATCAATGTGTAACCAGTGAGATGCAAGAAGGATCATTGGCATTGGCAGCATTCAAAGGACGAGTGCTACTCTACCAAGTCAGGATATTTAGTATTGTCCAATCTACAAGGAGGGGACATTGCTCATGTTTTCACGAGAATTTGGAACAAGTTTGTCCCTAGCAAGATAGCAGCTTTTTCATGGCAAATGGTGCAAGAAAAATGTCCAACTAAATTAAATTTACTAAACAGATCGATTTTACCAGAGTTGGAAATGGCAAGGTGCTGGGCATGCAAGGAGTTACTTGAAAGATCTTCTCACTTTTTTTTACATTGCAAGTTTGCTTTTTGATGTTTTAAATGGTGGGGAATTACAACAGTGGTTGATGAAAATTGCTGGAGGGCTTTTGTCCGGCATACAAACTTTTTTAATTCAGAAGTTGTTCAGAAGGGATGGGAAGTGATTGGATTGGCTTGTGTTTGGTCTATATGGCAGGTGTGAAACAAGACTGTATTCTAAGGAGAAGAAGCTACAGCAGACCATACTTTTGATTTAATTCAAGCTGGGTCCTTTCAATGGTTAAAAGGGAGGATACCTAACTGCAACTTTAGTCTGCCAGATTGGCTACAAAATCCAGTTGACAATTTGAAAGGTTGTGCAGGAAGATGAGATGTAGATGGGATTAACAGCTGAAATATTGGAGGGATATCAGTGTATGTTCATAACATTCCTCTTAAAGGGGGAGAGGTGTTTGTGCACTGTTGTAATAAGGTTTTGAGTACCCTTGTACTCATTTTAATAAATTGGCTGTTCAAAAAAGCAGAGCGAAAAAGGAAAATGAGAGTGATGACAAAAGAAGTGGATTTGGCTGGCATCAGTGATCCAGAAAATGTTGAGGTAATGAAGGCACCTTATGTCATGAAAAGGCCTCGAAAAATGAGTGGAAAAGCATAAATACAGTGTATCAGAACAAACGTTGTGCTTCATCGTCTTCCTCGGCCAACCATTTTCACGCCGTACTGCCCCTATGGATGATTCATCTCTGCAGTCTCACGGATGTGTGGATTGAAGAAGACATGTCTTCACTCTCTCCCAAGCATGCCAACTGCTTTCAAAAGTTCTTCTCACGGATGTGTGGATTGAAGGAGACTATATATATAGATGTAAGTTCGTTGCAAACTACACTTATATGAGCAAAAAAACACATTAATTCCAGTACCATTGACTCAATTTGGTGTTTTTGTTTTCAAATGTTTCAGGCAACGTACCCTATAGAGATGAAACTGATCAGAAAAAAAGGTTTAGTTAAGGATACAAACCTTTTTATTTTTTATTTAAAAATATTAATTTTTTATTTTTTATTTAAAGATACAAATATTACGTTATTTTGATTAAAATTATCTTTTGTCATGTCATTATTCGCCTATCAATAAATCTTTAAATAAAAAAAAAGGTTCATATTCTTGTTAAAAAGAAAATTTATGAACTAATTTAAAAATTCAAAAAATTTGTATTCTTAAATAAAAAAATAAAATTCATATCTTTATCAGCGTATTTTTTCTACTAATCAACTTGTACCAAGCCAAAGGAGCAAGACTACAAAAGACCATTGACCAATGAAAGGGGAATATAAGTATGTATTAACTTCAAGCATTTATCCTAGTTGTAAAGCGAGTTGCAACTATACCTGAGATTCCAAAATCTTCCCTGATTTTGCCTACAAAAATCCTGAGAGATTCCCGAAATCCGTCCAAAGCTCTAACCATGAAAAATAGAGGCTAAAATCAAAAAGTTTTATGTCTCATGTTGAGGTATCATTACAGCTCAAATTGATAGCACTTCAACATGACTCTTTAACATGAGATGCAGATATTTATAATGTGTCATTTTCTTAACATCCTTTAGCATAACTTGGAACCCTGCTGTTCCTTCCTTTCTCTTTACTATATTCTCATTTTTAACTTTTTTTCAAATTTTCCATGGTTCAGCTTTACTAATTAATTGAGCAAAGTAGAGATGCTATTATTACTCATTACTCTTTCATGCTGTTGCAGGCTATAAAACCAGGAATCATAAACATCAAATCAAAACCGCTAAAGAAAAAATTATTTATCAATTCATTAGAGTGAAAAAAAGAAAAGGAGTGATGACAGAAGAAGTAATTTTGACTGGCATAACGAGTGATCCAAAAAATGTTGAGCTAGTGAAGGAGTGTTATGAAAATGCCATGAAAAATGAGTGGGAAAGCATTAAAACAATGTATCGGAACTGTCGTTTTGCTTTATACGATGGACTCACTCTCAGCGGCGATACTGTTTTCCACATTGCAGCATCCAAGGGGAGCATAGAACTGCTCCAAGCGCTCTTCGAAATGGTTCCAACGTATAAAAAATGGGACGTTGTGATGATGGAGGACATTTATGGCAACACACTTCTCCATGAGGCAGCCACCAGCAACAAAGTTGACGCAGCAAAATTCTTGGTTGAGAATGCACATGGAGAACGATTAACGATGCTGACGAAGCCAAATAATTCAGGGGAGACGCCGATGTACAGGGCTGCGGCGTTTGGTATTAAAGCAACAGTGGAGTACATGGCAAACGAGGTGGAGAAGGAAATGGGAAGTCTGCAAGCAGCCATCTTCACAAAAACCAATGATAATCTCTCCATTCTTCAAATTGCTATCATTAATGAAAATTTTGGTATGTACTGCTCATTGGTTACTTTTTAATAAAAGCACTAATTTAGGAAAGAGGTTGGTGTTTTGTATGTTGGTGTTTTGCATTTCATACTACAATCAAGGAATTGTAATTCGGGTTATTTTAACTGCAAAACACTTTTTCTTTTAGGAAATGCCTGAGAATTCTCTATTAAATGCAGAAACAGCAATTTGGTTACTAGACAGAGATCTAGATCAGGCGATGTTGAAGGATTCTAAGGAGAAATATCTTCACTTTCTCGCAAGCATGTCAACTGTTTTCAAAAGTTCTTCTAAAAAAATGTCTGTATTCAAGGAGTTTATATATAGATGTAAGTTTTTTGCAAACGACAATCATACAAGCAAAAAACACACATTAAGTCCAATACCATTGACTAGATTTGGCGTTTTTTGTTTTCAGATATTCCAAACGACTTACACTATAGAGATGAAACTGATCATCAGCATGTACCAAGACAGTGCTACAAGGCTAGGAAAGACTATCAACCAATGATAGGTAATATATATATCTATTAATTTCGCGCATTCATACCGCTTGTAAAGTGATGAATTGCAACTAGAATTTACAAATTTTCCTTTATGCAGGTTTATGCGGGCACTATCATTGTTTTTGGATTCATTTTTGGATTCGTTGTTGGATCTTCCTAATTAAAAGTACGCACCATAATAATTTATTTACTTACCTTAAATTTTCCTGTTTGGTTTGAGGAGAGAGAAGGCTAAGGGAAGCAAATATATTTACCTCCCTTCTTCTATTTCTCTCAAACCAAAAATACCCTTACCATTTGTAATCTAGTTATGATGTTAATAAAAATGGGTAAAAATAAAATAAAAATGCAGTGTTAATTTCATAAATGAACTTTTTCTCTGCAGTAATTCATTAAGGATACTGTAAGTATTTCAGCACATGCAAATTGAAAATCAAAAACTCATTTTAGAATTTACAATAAGGAAAATGATGTGGGCACACCCGGATCCAACACCCGGATGTACACACATCATATTAAAAATAAAAAACATGCCCATCACCCGGTCCATCCATTTTTTTTTATGTGGGGGGTGCACATCCGGGTGTTAGATCCAGGTGTGCACCAATCATTGTCCTTTACAATAAATATCTAATTAATTTTTTTTTTTTAGAAATGAATTTTATTAAAGAAATAGTGGGAAAAAAGAGGAAGCATGAGTTAGCATGTAAATTGGCCAAAACGCTGGTACAGAGGGATACTTCCTCGTGGCGTCAATCCTTAGAACTGGCAAATGATCCAGTATTAGGAATGTGCAACCGCAATGCTCGCCTGTACAACCGCAATGTTCGCCTTTTAAGAGACGAAGAAACAGTTGGCGAAGAAGAGAGCAAGGCATCGACCAAAACCAGAGGTCAACACGTCTATGTTGTGTCACCATCGAATTCTCCATTAATTATTGCCGCCAGCACAGGGATCCTGGAGATCGTGAAGATGATTCACAAAGAGTATCCTCAAGCGCTGGAGCACGTAACTCCAAATGGACAGAATATTCTGCATGTGGCCATTCTATGCCGTCAATACCACATCTTTGAATATATTAAGGAGAAGGGTGGAGCGGTGAACTCGGAGCTGGTTTTACAGATGGACAACCAAGGCGAAACCATTCTGCACAAAGCCGCCCGTACCAACTACTACCAAGGAGGAACCAAACCGACGGTAGCTCTGAACCTTCAAGATGAGTTGAAATGGTTCAAAGTCAGCCTCTATATATCAATTGCTTCTTTAAATTCATGAATAAACAACAATTCAAAGTCAGCCTCTATATATTTATTTCTTCAAAGGAATTGTGAACTGTTGTTGTGATTTCGCAGAAGGTGAAAAAAATGGTTCCTCTTCATTACACAATCCACCTCAGCTCGAAGAATTATACGGCAAAGGAACTGTTCAAAGATCAACACCAAGAACAACTTAAAAACGCACAAGAATGGGTCAAGAACACCTGTCAGTCATGCTCCGCCGTGTCAGTCCTAGTTGCCACTGTTATTTTCACTTCCGCCTTCACCGCCCCAGGTGGTTTCAATGGTAATTAACTGAACTTCACTTCGTTTTTTCTTCTCCTTACAAATAAGAAAATTATTATTTTCTTAAATGTTTTGAAGGTTATGGGCGCCCTGTCTTGGAGGAGCGGCCTCTATACTCTTTTTTCACTGTGATGGACGAGGTCGGACTGGCTAGCTCACTAACGTCGGTGGTGCTCTTCCTTTCAGTGCTCACATCGTCGCTTGATCTGAAAGATTTTGCAAATGACATACCCCGGAAACTGTCGTTTGGGTTCCTCTTTCTGTCCTTTGCCATTTTAACCACCATGCTTTCCTTCACAGCCGCAATTATCCTTACCGTTCATTTGAAGAAGCCATGGAATACTACTCTGACCTTCATTGCTGCATCCCTTCCAATTGGCGTCTATGCGATTGTGCAGTTCGATTTGTATATGGAGTACTTCAAGATTGCTCTCACCAGCATTTATGAGTTTGTGAAGAAGTTTATTCTAAGGAGATGATTATGTATTTGATTATATTGCGTGTGTGTGCATTTTGAGTTTGTGAAGAAGTTTCTTCTAGGGATATGATATATGATGTATTTGATTACATTGTGTGTGTGTGTTTTTTTTTTTTAAAAAAAAAAAAAAGTGCTACGTATATAATGTTTGAGATGATTGTTGAAGAAGTTTGGAGTGTTAGAAACTGAAGAAAAGAGAAAATATGAAGAAGTGAATTGTTTTCTTGATTGATACTATCATACTACATCCTATGTACATGATTGTATCATTAAATTTGTCTATTTTTAATTTCAGATTAAAAATAATGATTTTTTAATGAGTGTGTCATGTAGTGTATTAAATCGGAGCGTGTACCAATCACTGTCATATATATATATATATATATATATGCAATGAGAATAATTTGAGTATAAAATATTTATAATAACTATGGGTTCTTTTAAGTACTGCTCAAAAAAATAATAAATATGTGGTCTAAATGAGATCTGAATTTGTGAACATATCTTAACATCCATATCAAACTCAAGTAGTTGGAAGGAGACCAACTAAAGTTTGGCAAGAAGAGTGCAGAAGTGTCCTGGAAAATGAATCTTAGTGAGAAGATTAGTTGGCTAATCACCAGAGCTAATGAAGATCAAGTGAACTGTATTTCCTCGTGGAACATGATGTTGGATGGTGCAGTGGCAGTTTTATTTTCATGGCTGACTTATTAAATTTGACTTTCACCGGCGCTGTTCTACCCAGCTTTTTGGGTCTTGGCTAGCTTGGAAGGCTTCCTTGGGCTAACCTTTGGTAGTCCACTCTAAAATCTTGCGGTAGGAAATTAGTTTCCTGTAGTCCCATAGATGTCTCATCCGGCCCACTGATAAAGCTACAAAAGCTATGGTGTCTGACAACTTTGTGTGGTCTTTAATTCCTCATTTTGATGGTGATCACTATTATGATTATTGGAGTATCTTAATGGAGAACTTCTAGAGGTCAAAAGAATACTGAATGATTGTTGGTACCGATGTAGCAAAACTGGCAGCAGGTGCAAGTGATGCACAGAAGGCAGAAGTTGAGATGCAGAAATTGAAGGATCATAAGGCAAGGAACAACTTGTTCCAATTATCATTCTATGCCTTATGATTGTGCAGTTTTGGAAACTATTCTCAACAAGGATACTTCCAACTAGATTTGGGATTCAATGAAGAAGAAAATATAAGGGAATACAAGGGCAAAGCGATAGCAGTTCCAAGCTTTGCAAGCAAGATTTGAGACTATGAACCAATTTGATTACAATTCAATCTAAATTGACATCAATTTGAGTTAATTTGAATAATAAACTTTTAAAATCGATATAAATAGTTTGATTTGTGGTTGATTTTCAAATTGACCAAATCACCTAATTACAAAATAATTTAATTAAATAAGAAAATGATGTGTGTACACCTGGATCCAACACCCGGTGTGCACACATCATATAAAAAAAAAATGCCCATCACCCGATCCATCCTTTTTTTTTATGTGGGGGGTGCACACCCAAGTGTTAGATCCGGGTGTGCACCAATCATTGTCCAATTAAATAATATACAATCTTTTTACTTTTGTATTTTTTTGGTAAATATATTTTTAGAATTTTTATTTTTGTATACAAATTGTATTTTAAATGTTTCTTATCTTTTTTTTTTTCTTTTTCTATAGTATAATATTTTTTATAGTTTTAATATAATATTAATTGCATTAGCTATTATTTTCTTATTTTATTTTTGTACTATAATTGTAGAACATAACCTAATTAACTTCATTGAAAAATAATGCAGTCCTAAATCATTTCTTATACAAAAAAAAAAAAAAAAGCTTTACTTTGAAAACTCTTTACCTTCTTCAACAGTAACATTGTAGACCTATTGAGATTCATTTGGTATAACAGTTTGGAGGTAACAATTAACGATTTTACTTAAATCATTAAAGATAAGTGTTTGTTAAACTTATTTATTTCAAAACCAATTCAAATTAGGTGTTTGATAAAATTTTTTATTTAACAATTTGAATCTAGCGGATACCTATTAAGGTTAAAACCATTAGTGGATTGAAAAATTATCTAAAGTAGCTTTTTGCACTAAACAGTTAATAAATTTGAATTTTTTAATTTTATTAACAAATTTAACCATTTTAATTTTTTAATTTTTTGCCACAATTTTTAATTAGTACTTATTTAATTAGTTTTAACTTTATTTTTTGTTTTTAATAACATTAAGTAATTATTATATTTTTATTTTTACATTAATTTATCATAAAAAATATATATTAAGTTAATAAACAAAATTTGCTAATTAGGTAAAAAATTAAAATTTTTTTGTACTTTATTTAAAAATAACATAATTTTTTCTTTGTTAAAAATAGAATTTAGAGTGTAATTATACTATTATAATTTATTTTATTTATTTATTTTCTTATTATTATTTTTATAAAAATTAATAATTTTAATAATAAAACAGATATAAAAAAAGTATACTTAATTGTTTTAAACATGTCTTTATTAGTCGTTTAAAGGGAGCAACAGCTTGCGTTCTATTGCAGGGGCTGCATGTTCTAGAAGCACAAAATTCTGCCGCAAATTGGAGGGATTTGTGTAAAATCCCCTTAGATTGATAGATTGCTGAAAGCAAAGAGTGTTCCCATCACTCCAAGGGTTCCAAATGCTAGAGCAGAAGAGAGACGACCATGGAAGCCTTGGCTGGGAAATCACGAGTAGCTTTGAGGAATAGTTTGTGAAGAAGAACCAAGAGAAAAAAGGTCACAGTTGAAGCTGTGTTGCAAGGATAGGAACTGAGTTCCAGAAAAGATTGAGAGCAGGGCAATCTCATATGAGGTGAGCAGTTGTCTCTGTTAAGGAAATAATCATCTCATAAGCAATCTCCGATTTTGATTCATTCATTTATTTCTAGAGACATGTAAATATTATTCATATCTTATATTTCCTTTTGTACTATTTGTACTATAGGGTTACTAGAGGTATATATTTGTATAGCAAGCAACTTGAACAATATACAAGTCTTACCAGCAATTCCCCCGCCTTTGCCCTTAGCCTTTACAGCTCTCATAGTGGTATCAGAGCCCCTTTTTCTCGTTCATGGCTCATCAAACCCCTCCAAAGAGATCCACTTTTGTTCTATCTCCTTTCCGGTTTCAGCACATGCAGTACAGCATGCCACTGCTTCCGACTTGCCGAATTCTGGAAATCACACCAATGTTATGCCTTCTTTGGATCGTTCCCCGCATGTTGCCAACGGACAATTCACATGTCAGCCAAATAACTTCCAAGGGCGTGGGAACAATTATATTTCCTTAGCATGTCAATAGTGTTGCCAATCTGGTCACCTTGCAAGGAATTGCTCCCAATTTCTTATAAAGTCTAACTTTCCCATGGCAAAATTTTTAACCTCTTGTGAATAGATTTAGGAGCAAATAGTCATTTAACCACCGAAGCAGCAAACGTTGTTCTGCATTCTACAATTTCCACTTGAAACACATCTCTTCCCTCAAACAATGTTTTATATGTTCGTAATGCTTCCAGCTAGAAATTTAATTTCTATTTCTCAATTATGCAAGTCTGCTAATGCTATTGTTGAATTTGATGCTACTCACGTTTTTGTGAAGGATCACAGTACAAGGGTGATATTTTTTTTTTTTTATCAGCAAAGTAAATTATTTTATTTAAATTAATGGATCGGAGTATAAGAGATACTCCTGCCCTTTTACAAAAAAAGAAAACAATTACTCCCTGCACAATGAAAAAGACACTGCAGGTGCACAAAAAATATAAAACCCCCGAAAGAACAAGAATAATCAGTAAAGAACGGACTTCAACTTAAGGACTGAAGTCATTTCTGTTACTGATTAAACATCTTCAAGGATTTCTTGTACCGCTTCAGCTCCCTTGCACACTCCATTGGGTTACTTTGCCACTGGACCAACGAAAAAACACATCCAACCACCTTATTTCTTACCCAGAAGTGAGTCTTAACTTGAATCAACTCCAACAATTGCTCCCTAATATCCTCCTCCCTTCGAAATGCCAAAACATTTCTCCTATACGACAAATACCAAGCAATAACAAGAAAAATGCAGGCTCCCATCTCCTTGCCTACCAAACTGCCTAACCCATAGATGAAAATCTCTGCCACACCCTTCACAGTACAGGGGTAATATTGCTTCATGGACAAAACAAAAATGGGGTATGAGTTTTCTGTTGTGAACAATTACCATTCTTGGTCACAACCAAGTGCCCTAGTGGGTCAATGTACATCTATAATAGATTTGGCATGCCTGGTTGGAACATTGATGTCTTGCCTCAAAATTAATACCCTTTAGCTAAGCGGTTGTTGTAGCGTAGCTTTGAGTGTCGAATTCACAGGGAAGTTATATTAAATCAACAAAAAGAGTTGTCACAAGGAGAAATTAAATTAAAAGATGAATTCTAAAATTAAGAATCAAAATATTTAAATAAAAGATGATACTTGTAAAAGATTGAAAACAATATTATGATGAATAAGACTTCAGGGTTCACTTAATTGATTTGTTTAACTGTTATAAATTTTGATTCCTATTTATTACTCAATTGCATGTTTGACATCCCAAACAAACAATCGGAAGATTCAACTTTAAAAACCAATAATAATGACTAATGTATTTATTTTGAGAAAAATTAATTTCAATGAAGAACAAACTGATCTATCGTAAGAGTGACAATATATCTAATCGACAATACTGCAATAAAGGATCAACTCACAAAACAAATCTACCAATCAATTATATTCTAATAAATCACACATAAAAAAAGCATAATTAATCTTATATGAAATTTAATAAATATAATTTTCAAGGTTTTCAAGTCTGAAAATAATTAATAATCTCTCACAAATAAAATTAAACAATAAATTTATGAAAGAATCAAAATAAAATAACAAGTCAAACTCTTCAATCAAGATGCTCCCTAGTTTTGTTGAAAGTTTAGTTGCTATTTAACATAATTCTCTAGAAGAAAATAGAAGTCTAATACCCACCTCGCCAGGCTTAGAACCCCCTTTTAAAATAACTTGGATGGATATTTATAGAATCCTAAAAACCTTAATTAGAATGGTTGTGGGGGTCACATCACAATAATTAGGACAGATATGATTCGGCTGAATTATCGCGCAAGGGGTCGACACTCTTTACAAGGTGCCGGCACTTTGAGTGGAGCATCAACTCCATACTCCTTGTCGGGTTTTTGGCCTTTTGTGCAATTTTGGTTAATGGCAGAATGACAGTCTTGGTCCCCGACTCCTGGATTCCGCACAAATTGATCATCATATTTCTGATCTTTGCAATTTGCTCCTTGCATTTAAGTCCTTTTTCTAATTCTTCTCCATTTAACATCAACCTTCAATCACCATAAAATTTGCACAACATGAATAAAATGAACATTTATAAAATTACCTGTAGAAAAATAAAACTCTTAAACTCATAATTCCACAAATGTCAATGGTTAAGCACACTTTAGATATACATTTTCATACTTTTATCAAACATCATCCTCAAAAATTCAAAAAATAAAATTTTTAGTCAAATTCATCTACCAATGACATCCAAGGTAGAGTCTTTTACTTGTGATCCTTGCTCGTGCCCTTTAGTCATTCAACTGTTAAGAGTCATGCTCCATTAGCTCCAATAATTTCTTCCATTGATAGTTATAACGACTTCCTCTTGTCTATAGATCTTTTAGTCGTTACACTTGGCTTTTTCCATTAAAACAAAAATCAGAAGTTTTGCAAGATTCCATCTTGTCAAGTTGCTAGGATAGCAATGCTCTTGAAGCAATTTTTTTCTTGAGCAAGGAGTCAAAAAAAGAATTTGATTTTGGAAAGCATCATTGTGAACAATCAGTGTAACACTCAAGTTACACAAATTGTCATAGTAAAGATAAGTTGAAGGTGGCTGGGGAACACCAATGTCCTCAAGAATCCATTGTAGTGAAAGAAGTTTTAATGTAGTGTCCCCCAAAGCTCAATATATACTCAACCTTAGTGCTTGAGAGAGATGAAACAATCTATTTCTTAATACACAATGATATAAGGGAGTTATTAAGAAAAAGACAATATTAATTGCAGATTTCCAGTTAGAAAGATCACCTGACCAAATTAGAATTAGAATACGCATGTAGTACAAGAGAATAGTGAACAAAAGAAGTGAAGCCATGAAATAGTGCCACTTAACATTTATAGCAAAGAATGTGAAGAACAATAAAATGACTAGAGTGAGGAGCAACCATAAAGTGATTAATAATATAAACTTTATATATTATGTTTGGGCATCTTGTATATGTACACAATAAAATAAGCCAAATTTCCAAATAATTGTCGATGACGAGTAGGATCAAAAAGTGGAGACCCATCCATTGATATAAGCTTAGCATTATTGCAACTGTTACCACTCAAATGGTGTTGAAGAGGTTCAAACATGAATTCTTAATATAGTTAGAATATTCCTTAACCAATTAAATTAATCTCAACGGATTACTTGTCATTTTAATTATTTAAAAAAATAAAATAATAAAATAAGAAGCAGGACAACTAAATAAAAAAAGGAAATAGTAATTTTTTTTTTATTCTCGTCACATCTCAAGATTATTTCTTGATTTCATTTGTTTACTTACATATTTGTTTTATGCTCATCACATCTGTGTGACTCTTAAAAGTATTAATTAATAGTTCAAACATAGACAAAAATCCTTTTTTAGGCCCTCAAATTTATCTCAAAATAACATTTAAACCCCTAAACTAAAAATGAAGCAGATAAATCCTTCAACTCTACTAACAATGCAAATAAACTCATCTCACAAACTAGCCAAATGGTATTTCCTATTTAAGTTCATCTTGAAACCATGAACACCAATGAATGAAAAGGGATTATTTGCATCATTAGTGAAGTTAGAGGGCTTATCTGCTTTGTTTTTAGTATAGAGGCTTACATGTCATTTTAGGGTAAGTTTGAGGTCTTAATAAGGGTTTTTGCCTTTAACATATAAACAACTATCCTTGATTTTCGAGAGCATTATTTAAATTTTAATGAATAGTAACATCAAACGGCAAACAAAGCATTTGAGTTTTATAAAATTGTTAAGCAATATACAAGGTAGTTTGATATATTTTATACTTAGCATATTGACATTGGATGCCATTTGATTAAATCTTGAATGTGTTTGGATTGGGAGATTTGGAAGGGAAGGGGAGGAGAGTGAGGAGAAGATATATTTCTAATCTTATCTTTTTATTATTATTATTATTAATGGAGAGGGTAGGAGATGGAGGGATAATCAAGTTTCTTCACTCTTTTGTTTTTCATTTCTTCAAATCAAGGGTATTGTAAAGAATTTAATTTACACATTTAATATTTTTTAATTTTTTTAAAATTAAATATATAAAAATATTTT